CAGGAATGTCTGTATTAAGCACTGTACAACCTGGTATTTTACTCTTTTTAAGACAACCATTTCTCTCTTCCTCCATACTCTTACTGGCAATTTGCCTCATTCAGAAATAAATGGACATGTTGGGGAAACTTAATAGCTACAAGTGGGTTGGGTTTTCTCTTTAAGGGATACTGCTAAATTTTTCTGGGCTGTGGCTGTTCCTTCCAAAACAGTATTAAGTTTTCTTGGCTGTGAGTGATAAAGAGCTGACAGCAGCATGGAAACACCATGATAAGAATAGAAAGTAAAGGCAGGGTCTCAGCAGCTCCTCAGAGCCGCGTGGTATCTGTGCAATGACCCTGCGTAAACACCATGGCATGGCAAAGAAATGCTTCAAGATGCAGCCCTGATTCCGGCTGTGCTCTGCATCCCAGGCAGGATGTGCATCCAGTGATGCTCTCAGGGCTCATGCCTGCATAGACATTCCCAAGGTATCTCTTTGCAGTGGTAGAGAGAGCTTCCCTTAAAAGGTCTGGTATTCTTGGCATGCCAAGAAGCCCTCTCCCCAGACAGAGGTTATTCCTGTGAGTAACTCGGTGTTGCTTTCCCTGGGGAAGGGGATTTTAACGGGGAGGGAAGCTGCTGCCACAAAGGGTCGTCCTGCATTGCAGTCTGCAAGGGCTGAGGTGTTGCTCTGCTGGAGAAGGTAGAGCAGAGGGGTTCAGGATAAAATACTCCTGCTGCTGCCCAGTGTTCAGTAACGGGCAAAATACGGAAAGAGGGAAGTAGAAACGGCTCTTGTTGTATGGGAAGCAGGGATGTTTATCACCATTTCACTGCAAACACTCTGCTTAAGTAACAGATAGTTAGTGGAGGGTACGACAACGATGCTGGCGTGAGCAGCGTGTGGTACATGACCCGAAGCACATCAGAGGGCACCGCTGGATACTGAGATCCCAGCGATACACAGGCCGGGAGAGCAATGCATTAAACATCTGCCAGGCTCTGCTTAACCATTTGCATATAGCAGAGGAACATGGAGAACGAGGCACCGCCGAACCGATGGTCGGGGCTGCATCCGCCTGTGTTGGCACCTCGTATCCCAAAAGCAGGGGAGCCGACCCGAGTGATGCTGAAGGCTCTCTCTAAGGAGAGAACCCCACAGCAGTTGGCCCACTCGGGAAGGCCACATCCCCAACTAACAATGCCACTCGCAGCTGTCTCTCAGCAGAGCTTCCTGGCATTTTTTGGTACCAGGAATAGAGTCCTCCACATTCCTGGATTTTTGCAAAGCCCAGAAATAGCCAGGAGCTGCCTTGGGGTACATACTCGGCTCCGCCTGAGGCTAAATTTTCCCGACTCTTCTCAGGAGCTGTTTAAATTACCTGGGGGTTGTGATGTTGCTCCTGCAAAGGAAAGTCCAGCTGACAATGAGGAGCCAAAAGCGTTTGCAGAAGTGACTAAAGATCATGAACCTTCATTTTAGTGTTGCGGGAAATTGTGACGAGATCTGATTCTGAAACTGAAGTGCTGGAAACAAGACAATCTTCAGTAGCTGTTTTTTCCTTCACCCCCTCCCACCACCTCAGATTTGCAAAAGCAACTTTATACATGTGAAAAATGCTAATTGTTTGGCTATACTTTAGTAGACAATCCCTAAAGCATGAAACAGTATTTTAAATCTTATTTCCTCTTCAACACAGCTGCTCTTTAGTTACATGACTTTATTCTACTTAATTGTTTAGCACCTTCCTCTGGTTCTGGCACTTTTCAGCCCATTTTCCACCCCAGAATTGTATTAGCTCTATGCGCCAGAGCTAGTCAAGTGATTGCAGCATATGGCTTCCAGACAATGCAAAATCTTTCTTAAACCCTTTCAGAAGAGGATGGTTTATATTTTTTGATGTGCGTTAGTAATTATATTTATGATCTTGTACCAGAGATGCCCCTCACCTCCAAATCAGGGAGCTATTGTACTCAGTGCTGTACAAACTTATTTGAAAAGACAGGATCTCATGAAAGTTTGGGATCAGAAAGAAAGTGTTGTGAATTTCTCTGATTTTTGTTAGTTATCTAACTGCAATCAGTGGTGGTCTTACATCTGAGTTGGTTAGGTGAGTAGTGAAAACCTGAGTTTTCACTTTTAAAGGTCAATTCCTAAGCCGTGTAGTTATAACAAAAATGTAGCTTGGACCAAAACAGTCAAAAAACAGGTGACTTCTTTAAAAAAAAACCAAAACACCATGTTTACAGTTGCCACTCTCTCATGTAATTGGCCAACACGTGGCAAAAAGAAAAAGCTTGAATTTCAAATCCCTGCTGTCCTTTGTAGAACTGAAAATGAGAGAAAACACTGCAGTTTGCAAACAGAGCAAAGTGTGATCCGGGGGTCAGGAGGGAGTACCTGTGAGGATAAGCATGATGTTTTAGAGCATCACTGGTCCTCACTCTTTACTGGAGGCTGCCTAAAAACCTGTTGATGCCCTGACAAAGCCTTACCCCATTATTTTTCCCCTTCCTTTGGAAAAAAAAACAGCATATGACATTATTCTAACATGTGCTAAAGCCTCAAGGTCATGAGGCCAATGAGAAACATCTAGAGATGCTCTCACCTCCTCAAAGGTTCACCCTCCCAGGTCTACTCTTCCCCGCACACCCTTGGCTGCAGCATCCCAGGACCACTCACCCTTTCAGCAGCCTCCAGACTGGGGCAGCAAGGCAGCCTGCCCCGCTTTCCACACCACCTTGAGCGTGCGTCTTCTACAGCAGAGCTTCCCCGCAGACCAGGACCGCCGGCACAGGGGCTGGGGACAGAGATTTAAACCTTTCCCTGCTGACCAAGCACCGCCAATGGGCTGCCAGGCTCCTGGATTAAGCAGCGGCACTGGTTTCTCAGCCAGCTTTTATGGGTGCTTACCCATCCGCGCAAATTCCCCCAGGCCAATCGCGGGGCGGTGCTGGTATTTAGGAACCCCACTTGCCAGGGAACCAATTCTCTGCGGGGGCAAAGCTGGACGGAGGATGTGGTAGGTGTGATTTAGCACATGCAGCTCCCACATCCAGGGATGGAAGAACTTAGAAATGGGGTCCCCATCTGCAGTGACAGCTTTCAGCTTCAGGAGGGGGACAGCAGGTTGCTGAGGTTTTCCTGACATGCACATGAGAGACAAGCAGGTGGGGATGGGGGCACATGTCCAGCCACACAGCCTGAGTCAGGGGACCCAACAGGTAATGACCATCCCACCAGGGGTAACCAATAACCCACCCCAGGTGGAGAAGAATTGCTGAAATGGCCCCAGATTCCCAGTAAACAGCCGGGGCACCACAAACCCAGGAGCATCTCCACGTCGGTTCACCTCCATCCCCTTGGAAAACAGAGTCCCTTTCACAGCGTGAAGAAATTACTGTTTTCCTGCCCTGATATCCCTGGAGATAAGAAGCTCCAGGACACAGGTTCCTTTGCTCCCACCGGCCTTAGAGTATCAGGTTTGGGGTCCTGCACCATGGGATGCGCCAAATGTCTCATGGCCCCTGAGTCATGGCACAGCCAAGGGGCGAGACCGTAATGCGTCTGTGCTCCATGGTGCAGGACATGCCAGGTCCAGTAGCTGTCGTGGCAAACCCAAATCATAGAATCACAGAATGGTTTGAGTTGGAAGGGACCCTAAAGATGAGGCATCCACAACCTCTCTGGGCGAAGCTGATCTGCAGAGGAGGAATGTCGGGCAGCCACTGAGCAGGTGATGGAGGATGCCACAATCGTCTGGCTGGGATGGGATGCTCTCAGGAGTGATGGGGGGTGACAGGACCCTGGCACAACTTTCCCCACTGTGCTATCCCTTTCCCTCCAGCTCATGCAAGCCCCATGCAAGCCCCCAGCTGATCTCAGGCCCCGTTACACAAGCTCCAGTTCACAGACTGCCGTGGGGTGCCCGCAGCGACACAAAGGGCTTTGCTTAGCAGCTGTGTTTGCTCAGGGCGGCTGATTTTGGGAGCAAAGCCGATGACATGTGGTTGGCCAGGCGGCCTGGGAGACTGGTGCTGAGCTTGCAGCTTCCTTTTTTAATAGGTGACTCAGGCCCTCGGTAGCTCACTGGGGTTTGTGGTGGGAGCCGAGCTGCAAAGGAAAGCCAGCAGCAGAGGTGGTGGACACCAGCAGGTGGGTGGCATTGTTTCTCTGTAGGATAAAGCAGTTTAAATTGAAAGTAGAGCGAGCCAGAGCTGCCGTGTTACTGGTGAGATGGGGTTTTCTCAGGGAAGGAGGGGGATAGTGTTTTGTTAGTGATTTCTTTTCCACTTGTTGGGAGTTAGCTGTCAGATGTAATGCATTTACAGTTCGAGACCTGCAATATTCTTCAGTGGGAGACAGAGCAGTTGTGTGATTTATGGGCAATAACTGAAGAGGAAGTGAATGAGTTTTTAAATGAATATTTAAGAGTCTTTTTCTCTCTGTTGCCTTGCCTTTTCCTCCTGTGTCTTCAAAGATCATTGACTACAAATGAATACGAGGAATGATTTCCCCATTGCAAGTTTCCAGGTTGCGCAGCCCCTCCTTGCTCGCCGAGGGCACGGCTGATGGGGCACAGAGGCTGTAAACTGAGCCCGAGCTACACATACGCAGGGCAAGGAAAGAGCTAAGAAACCCCTGACAGCTGCTCCCTATGGGCAGTCCTAACATTGCAGCCCCTCACATGAAATGTGCAGATTCATCCGGCGCCAGACACTGGCACGAAGGACATTTTGCCGACCAACCCCAGCGGGGAGGAGCATTCCCCATATACTTCACTTAGACAGCAGGCCGGCCACAGTGCCAGCACGGGGTGGGATGGAAGGAGGGGGTCCTCAGGAGCTCTTGTCTTCTATTTAAGCTCACGGGGCATACTTTAATGCCCAAAGTATCAGGTTTAAGGTCCCTGGGGCCGCAGTCAGTGCTAGTCAATCAGCGCTGCGCGGGACGCATCACTCAGCGCTGGATCGGATGCCGAACGTGCCAGCGGAGCCCTGTTGCTCAGCAAGGCAGAAACACGGAGTCTGGCACAGGTCTCAATGCCCTCCACCTCATACACAACAAATAACTCCCCAAGCCCAAGCTGCATAACATCCTTCAGCTTTTTTAGCATCCTCGGCTGGGCAGGTCCCCCCTCCCTCCCAAGGGATGCTTCGCAGTGGCACCGTGCCCACAGCTCTCCAGGTGTCCCAGGTGCCGCTCGGATGCCGTTAGCCGCACGTGACAGCTCGGCTTTCTCGTTTAGCGGAATGAACTGTTGTTCTTTTGCTCTTATCTATAATTAGCAATTTAGAGGGTGGCAGCAGCCTGGTTCGTCAGGCAGAGCCGCACGGAGCGCCCCAGACTTCCTGCGAGCGCAGAACCAGCCGCCTGCCCGGCGGGTTTGAGCAGCCCCTATCTAAACAGGCAGTTTGGTGAGAAGCGATAAGCAGAGGGCTGTGCACAGCCTGTGCACTGCAAAAATGTCAGAAAGACAAAAAAAAAAAAAAAAGAAAGAAAGAAAACAAAGGCAGCGATAAGGGGAAGGCTTCAACAAAAGCCTTGTATCTAATTATATCCATCATTAAAGCAGAAGCCCTGTGGCCTTTCATCCATCCAAGCTAACGGATGAAGCAGCACTGAGGTTGTGCTTTTTTCCTCTGCGTGGGCTGGAAATCTTCATTCAGCTGCTCTACTCGCTCCTGGCTGGAGGGGCACACTGCTCCCCTTTGTGCAGCATCTCACCCCATGGGCCCATGGGCCAATACGTGTTATACCAGCTCAGAGGTAATACCCGTAGCCCGGGCTGGGACCATTGAAGTAGGACATGGGGATTCTTTTTTCAAGCGTTTGGCACCACTGGTTGAGCACAGCAGTGCTGGTGTCAGCCTAAGCAGGGTCCCCGCCTTCCTGTGAGGTGTTCCCATCTCCTAGAGGAGTTTTTAAGAGAGTTTTTTTAGTGTGGCCATGCCCTTGCCAAGAACTTGTGTTCATTTTCCCAACCAGAAAGGCTGCAAATCCACTCCTGGCTAGCGTTAAAGCTGGCAAGGCTGTTTCCCCAGCGCTCCCCATTGCCCTTACTGGGAGGTTTAGTCAAACCTCATTACCTTGCAAGGAAAAAATCTTCTCTTTTCCAGACTGACTGGATTCCTTTTGCCTTTCCAGTAGGCAACCCATCAATGTAGGAGAAAGGAGAGATTCCTGGACAAGATTTTTCAAAGCCCTCTTCAAAGCTTTCTGCAGCTAATTCAGCACATGCTTCCATGCTCTTCTCACAGGGTAATGGCCATAATAAGGAAAGACCATGAAATCTGAAGGACCTTCACTTCATTTTCCATTTTTGCAGAGTGAACCTCTCAAATGAAGGGAGAAGCAGCATATAGAGGGGTTTGTGTTAGCAGCTATCAGCATCAGCTCCTATAAAAGTGAATGTCTCAGCAGTGCCTTGACCGTCTCCTTGCCATTTTCAGGGTGCTGTTCATCTCAAAAAGCCAGGGATCTAGTCACAGTCTGAGGACTATTGAGCAGAGAGGGGAAAAACTGATGCAGAGGGTTGTTTACCTTGCAACTTTGCAGCTTATCTTGAGATGCACCAAACCTGCCCCAGCAGTGCCACTGTCTCCACTGGCTGTAGATGGGTAATTCATTTTGGCTCAGTGTTTAAGCTGCAGATGGCAGAAATCAGGGAGAGAGGTCCCATATTTACATGGTGACTTAGCAAAAAAAAAAGCACTAAGGAAATATTTTCTTGTTTCCTCCACTGGTGTCCTAGTGACCTCTGGCAGAAGGGCAGCTAAACCTGTATTGCCTCCAGCTGCTTCCTCATGTATCCAGCCTCAGTTCTGCCCGCACATCTGCAGGAGCAGCTGGAACCAAGGACAAAAGAAACCTTGGGGTTTGGCACCTTCCAGCAGCACATTGGCCAGTGTCTGACAAGCTCACTAGGGTTCCTCTGCTCTTATCTTTGTGGCTTTTTGGTGCATATTTGTCCTCATAGGAAGTAGTGTTTCTTTTGAAACACCAGCTCCTGGAATCCTGTTAGTGTGTAACGTTAGCTGTTGTCACTTTAAAATAAAAAAAAACACATTAAAACTCCTTCAGTATTTTAGAGAAAATTTGAAAACCTGAACTCAAAATGCAGAAAACAAAGAAAAAGAGTCACTAAGATTGTTATTTACAAAACCTTGTGATTTGGGGACTGAGATTTAAGGGCAAAGAATGCTAGAATTGCTGCAGTGCTTCTAATGTGCACATATTAAAAAGTACATCAGCCCTTTCCTGGCTGTGCAATAGCTGGATTTGTGGAGAGAGAGACCATTGTTCAAACAGAAAGCGTTGCAAATACCACACTAAATCCAAATGCAGCAGTGCATGTCTGCAGATGAATGGAGAACCTTCTCGTGTTTTTATGGTGGTAACAGAGAAATTACAGCCCTGACTAACCTGGACGACTAAGATGCATGATATAGGTGTAAAGCTCTATATACATTTGTGATTTGTACAGCCATCCTGATCACACCTGGCAGAGTAATGCAAAAAGAAATTTCTTAGCTAGAAACTGGAGTTGCCCGTTTCTTTGAAAACTGAACCCATCTGCACTAACGTGATTAATTTTGACATGAACCTCTCTCCAGGGATGGACACAACTTTCATCCTCAGAGGGAGTGGAAGTCCCCACTGTTTAGGGGGAGGAGGTCCAAGGGGATGGAGTACAACAGGTGGGAATGAGGGAGCATGACCTGAGCATCATCCGAATGTGCGTGACCACACCAACCATCCAGTCCTTCTGTGTAGCCCTCAGGAGGTCTGGCTAATAGATCACCTCATCCCAGAGTAGCCATTTCTTTATGAACCAGACAGGGATATCCTCAGCTGTGGTCATCTCCATGGGAGGCATCTGAACAAAGATAGGAGGAACGCTGAATATCTTGAATTTCTCAGCAATGCCGTGCTGGGCCCCAGGGGGTGCCCCATGGGAGCTGGTGCAGCCCAGAATATCAGATCTCTAAACTAAGAGCAGGGTTCTGTGCTCTGGCTCTGACCCAGACTCCCTGCTACATCCTTGGGCATGTCTCGTAGCCTCTCATCTCCCCATTCCCTGAGACAGGCTCCCAGGGGAGAGGTAAAGATAAATGGATATAACTGCTTGTGAGGCACGCTGGGAGGAGAGCCACAGAGAGAAAAAGGTGGGAATTCCTTGAAGTTGAACATGGGTGACAACTTCACGGCCTCTGACTTGCCTGTGTTTAGTGATGGCCTTGTCCAGGGATGCAGGAATGGATGCGGGCGCAGTGCCCCGTGGCAGGATGGTGGCATCAGGTCACTGCCTGATGCGTTCCTCTCATCCAAGCTCAAAGTCTGTTTCAGTCATGAAAGAGGTGGAAAAGTCCACGTTTCCTCCCTGAATGAAAAGGGCATGATGTTAATTTTGGGGGACCAGGGCAGGGGCTGCAGTGGGAATTGGTGTGCAATTGGTAAGCGATGCTCACGCTCCAGACTGGCAGTGCCCCCGCGCCTTTGGCACATAGCTCACCGCGCACGTCTGTCCCTGTTTCAGATGAGAGGACACGGTCATTTTTAGACGTGTCGGACAGCACTAGCCACATACTTCACCAAGGACGAGGGAGGCCCTCTGCGCCCTCCGTGAAGGAGCTGTCGGCTCTCTATCTCTCCCAGACAGCTGCTGCCGCTCAGGCCGGCAGCCCCGCGCAGCCGGTAAGCATCGCGCGCCGCCGGCCTCCCCCTCGCAAATCGCCAGCGGCATCCGAGCAATGTCCTGTCCCAGCAAGTGCCTGTAAGAGGGTGAGAGGGAACGTGTCTGGGTTGGTAAATCTGCTTTTCCAAAAATGACCAGCTTTCCCTCGCCAATGGTAAGTATTGTATAAATGTTATCAGAGGTGCTGCTACGTACGTATAGCATAGAATCACAGAATCATTTAGGTTGAAAAAGACCTTTAAGATCATTGAGTCCAACTGTAAACCTAATACTGCCCAGTTCATCACTAAACCATGTCCCTAAGTGCCAATGTGATGTATGTGCTACATATATGTACACACACATATACACATTGTATTCACACACAGAACACACGTCTACATCCATTAACCCATACAAACAGTTTGTTCATACATGATTTCCAGTGTATTTACCTGTATATGTTTACACACACATCCATGGAGGAAATATTCAGCACACAGCACCACATACATCTCCACGCTACACCCATGCCAACACACACACATATGTATGTCCACATATGTCACACTCAGACATAACCTTACAATGCCTGAATTATCCTCGAGTCACAGGATAATTCAGGTTATAAGGGTTATGAGGCACTAAGCTACATTTTTTCCCCTTTCCCCATCTCCAGTGGTGATCCAGGAGTAATGTGGGATACGATTTCACATCTGGACTCCTCCTGCAGGCTCGTTCATGCTCCCTTCCACACTGAATCTTTTGCAGGGGGCCTGTGCAGAGGTGCAGTCTCTTGGGCGTGTATCAAGGCTCTGCACTGGAGGTGTCCAGATTGAAGCAGTCCCAGCTGAAAATAAATAAATGAAGGCTGTAATTGGAAAATTACAACCAGTTAGAAGTCTGAGGGAAAATAAAAAAATCAAACCAATGAATTTCACAATCCAAAATGCAATTACAAATGTAGATCAGTTTTATTTAAAAAATATTAAAGTATAAACAAAAATATAGGTTCAATCAAACTTTGGAGAAATCAGTGCTAGTTTTGTTTTTCCCCCAGCACTAAACAAATGTGTTTGGGGTTTCATGTGTTGACCAAGACCTTTGGAAAAAAACTATTTCTGATCAACTTGGAATAAGATTGTTTTTCCCATCTCTACAGAAGAGCCAGTGAACCAAAAAAACTCACCTGTAATGTTGTCACTCTCTGTAGTAGACACATATACATATACAAATAGCAGATTTGTCTTCCAGTGTGGTTTGATGTCACTTCTCCCCATGTCTTTTCCAGCGGACTGTGAAGGACAACTCCATTCGCTCTCCCCACAGTCAGAGAGAAAGCAAGGTAAGAAATGTTACAGATAAGCACCGTTATCTAACCAAATATTTGTGGACTGTGGTGGAGTGTGATTTAAATACCCACACAAGGCAGCGAGGAGCGCTTTCGTACTGAATATAGCTATCAGCTGCTCAGTCGCCCTTCCCCATGCTCAGAAGTTCTTCACAGATTAAAAAAAAAAAAATCCAAACTTATGTGAAAAAGTACATTCAAACTATGTTGGCTCCTGAGAAAGATTTGCATTTTACACTTGCTGCAAAATACACTGATTTTAGCATTCTGGGGTGGGTTTTGTTGGTTTTTTGGGGGTTTTTTACTAATGTTCAGTACTTATTTTTAGCCAGAATAATCTGTGTGTAACAGAGTGAAATAACACCACGCGCCATTGCTTTGAGCAACAACTAATAATATTGCAGGCATAACTCTACAGACGTAACTCCACAGGCATGCCAAGGGTCAGCAGATCTGTTTACTGAAAGGAAAGCCACCAGGATTACAGTCCTTTTTAGATAATGATTAGAGGCCTCGGCTACCTTCCCTTTGGATAAAAGCCAAGCCGGTGCAGTTTGCAGGTATTCAGTTCAGCGTTCCGCACCCAGGCTTCCCAAGATAAGGATTAAAAATGCAGAAAGTGAGGCTCAAAGGTAGGCTAAAACAAACCCCACAGTTCACCCCATCATGACTGCACCCTCTGTTCTCTTCTGTACCAGTGCTGCCACAAATTTGAGCTGAGCTCAGGCTGTCTGAGGCTAAACACGTCTAACGATTGCTGGCCCCCAGCTATGGGTGTTAGCCCAAACTCTCATCCCTCAGCCTTTTTTTTTCCTCCTAACAGAGCACAGAATTTGGCCTACCAATTCGAGCAGTTTGTAAACCTTAGTTAGCCTTATGTGTGTACAAGTCTGTAAGTCAAAAGAGCTTTAAAGTCCCTAATTGTAAAACTGTGCATCTATTCTTATGCAACTGATGATGTGGGGTACATGTGAGTCCACAGAAGAAATCGTCAGCCAAATGTCCTTCCCCAGGCCCTCACTCCTGTGCAGTGGGCAGCCCACGGTGCTGCCAAAAGCCTATCATGCTAGCTGCCTACCCAAAAATAGGTTTTCCTCATCAGCTCAGTCTGACACTGTTGTTTGCTTCCCTCTCCCCCTTTTCTTCTTGAGACCTCTTCATAAATAGTTCCTTGGCTTTCTCCTGCACCTATATCCTATGTTCCCAGGCTCTCTGCACACCCTCACGCTGCCCTGGACCCTTGGGAAAAGGAGGGAGAAGTTAACTTTTAGCTCACTACTCTAAGACAGCCTTCTTCATGTTATTCATGTGGTCACTCCAAACCAGGCCTCTCTGTTACGCAGTAGCTGGACTGAACCCTGGGGACTGTAGACTAACCACCACACCTGCCTGGACTAAAGACTTGCTTTAGAGCACCTTGCTGTGGAACCAGAGCTAACACCAAGCCTGGAGCGTGTGCGGTGGTGTGATGCTTTGGAGTGCTGTGTGCTACTGAACAGAAGGTATGGAGCTCAGTAGGTGCATGGATTTCCTTTGTTGGCTGGCTTTTTCCTTTGCCGTTCTCAGTACTAACGGCCACGGGGTTGGGTGGTAAGAGATGATGCTGACATTTCAAACTGTTTCTCTAAAGATGGCAGAGGCTCAGAACTCATCTAAAGTTGTCGCCAAGAAAATGGAAGACGACTTACCTCCCCCTCCCGCCCTTGGCTCAGTCCAGGTCATTGCTCCAGGAACGCAGGATCCCAACCCACTCCCTGTGCCTCCTCCAAAGCAAGCCTTCTCCAAGTTCTACCAGCAGCGTCAGGTGAACGAGTTAAAGAGGCTCTACAGACACATGCATCCTGAGCTCAGGAAGAACTTGGAAGAAGCTGTGACTGAGGACCTGGCAGAAATGCTTAATACTGAAGATCCCAATGCACAGGCATCTGTGAACCTGGACAAAGTTCTTCCCGGAGAGGTTCAGTCAATGCGCTGGATCTTTGAGAACTGGGCACTTGACTCCATTGGGGACCATCAAGGCACAAAGAAGCTGGCAGAAGAAGAGATCATTCCTGGTGGGGATGTGAAAAGTACTTCCCTGAGGTTTGAAAGCCAGTCAGTCAATGGGTACAGTCTGTCAACACCAGCCAGGGTATCAGAAACAGACCTTGCCAGAGGGGACGTGCATACTGCCCGGTGGCTGTTTGAAACCCAGCCACTAGACTCATTAAACAAACTGTACTCGGATGAAACCGAAGTGCAGGAGGCAGTTCTCAAGGATCCTGTCCAGGGAGGTGACGTGAAAGGTGCCAAACAGCTTTTTGAAGCACAATCCTTGGATGCTATAGGACGCTGCTGCTCAGTGGAGGAGAAGAGTATTTTACAACTCAAGTCAGAAATCCAGGAGTTAAAAGGTGATGTTAAGAAGACTATTAGGCTCTTCCAGACAGAGCCCCTCTGTGCCATCAGAGACAAAACCGGGAACATTCATGAAATCAAGTCCGTCTGCCGAGAAGAAATTCAGAGCAATGCAGTCAGAACAGCTCGCTGGCTGTTTGAGACTCAGCCCCTGGATACCATCAACAAGGACACTTCCAAAGTGCAAATAATCCGTGGGATTTCATTAGAAGAAATTGGAAAGCCAGATGTCAGTGGAGCAAGGTGGATATTTGAAACTCAGCCTCTGGATGCCATCAGAGAAATCACAGTTGAAGAACAGGATTTCAAGGCTTCAACAGATTTTGTCACAGGGGCAGATGTCAGTAAGCAGCGGATGCTCTTTGAGACCCAGACTCTTGATTCTCTGAAAGGAGAAACTACAGAAAGCATTGTAGCCAAAGAACAAGTCATTGGAGGTGATGTGAAATCTACACTCTGGCTGTTTGAAACCCAGCCAATGGAAACCCTGAAAGACAATTTTGAGGTGGGACGTTTAAAGAAAGTAGAGCTTTCAGCAGAGGAGAAAGGAGATGTAAAGCAAAGAAAACATGTCTTTGAGACCTGTCCCTTTGGCAGCATCTCCAAGGCATTTGAGGAAGAAGTTCCACCCACCAGCACAGAAGAGGTAGTGAAAGGGGATGTGAAGTCTTTCAAGACCTTGTTTGAGACTCTGCCCTTAGACAGCATCAAGCAAGCTGATGCTGAGCCCGTCACCAAAGAAGAAGAGAAGATTCCAGCTGGCAACGTCAAAGCCAACCAAATCCTGTTTGAGACAACACCTTTGTATGCCATTAAGGATAGCTTTGGTAATTTCCATGAAGTCACCTCTGTAAGCAGAGAGCAAATCATCAGTGGTGATGTCAAGAACTACAAATGGATGTTTGAAACCAGGCCCCTGGACCAGTTTGACGAAAGCACCAAGAAAGTGGATATAATACGGGGGATCACAAAACAAGAGGTGGTGGCTGGTGATGTTAGAACAGCCAAGTGGCTCTTTGAAACACAGCCCATGGATGTCATTCATCACCGAGCCATGCAAGGTGAGGAACATCCCCCAGTAAAGCGGGAGATCTCCCAGCGGGGGGATGTGAAGACCTGCAGGTGGCTTTTTGAGACCCAGCCCATCCACACCCTGTATGAGAAGGCTGAAAAGAAGCAGGAGGAAGATAGCAGTGTGGCCCAAGCTGACGTGAAGTCGTACACATGGATGTTTGAGACTCAGCCCCTGGACTCCCTGAAAGGCCAGGAGGAGCAGTATTTACAAGTCAGCAAGGCATACAGTCAGGAGGAATTACAGGGAGTTGATGTCAAAACTGTCCGGCACCTCTTTGAAACTGAACCCTTGGGCAGCGGTGTTCTCGGTGAAGCTGATCAAAAGAAAACCATGCGGTACTCCAGTCGAGTGGAGATACAGTCTGGAGAAGTGTCCAGAGTGAAGGAGTTCTTTGAAGCTAAGCCCTTGGATACAGCTACCAAACCAACATCCCAAAAGGATGACGGGTCAATTGAAGCTGGATCCGTGCACAAGTTCACTTGGCTCTTTGAGAACTACCCCATGGACTCCCTGAAGGACAGCTCTGCGGGCATCCAGGAAATCCCTCCAGAGAAGGATATCAAGGGAGGCGATGTTGGAGGCAAAAGGTTCGTATTTGAGACCTATTCCCTTGACGAAATCCATGACAAGGTGGATGAGACAGAGCTCCAGAAGATTCAGAAAGACACGATGAGCAAAGCTAACGTCAAGTCCTGCACAATGCTCTTTGAAAGCCAACCCTTATATGCTATCCAGGACAAAGAGGGGGGATACCACGAGGTCACCTCAGTGCAGAAAGAAGAAATCATGAAAGGTGATGTAAAAGGTGCCCGGTGGTTGTTTGAAACTAAGCCCCTGGATCAGATCAAGAAGGAAGAAGAGGTGTTTGTCATTAGGGCTGTCACCCAAGAAGACATCAAGAAAGGAGATGTCCAGGCTGCCCGGTGGAGGTTTGAGACAGAGCCTCTTGATTCTTTCTCAGGGGGAAAGATGTCTGTGCCCAGAACAGTAGATGACGTGCAGAGGGGAGATGTTCAGTCCAACAGGCAGCTCTTTGAGTCACAGCAAGTGGGCCAGAAGAAGTACGTGAGGATGGTCAGTGTCAGTGACGTTCAGCGGGGTGATGTGAGAACATCCACTTGGCTTTTTGAAAACCAGCCTGTGGACTCCCTCTATGGCGATGCGGAGAGAGGCTCATCTATCAGTACAGTGCAGAGAGAGGACAGACAGAAAGGGGATGTAAAACGCTGCACCTGGTTGTTTGAAACCCAGCCAATGGACACCCTTAAGGATACAGAGGTGACGGCCAGTGCTGGGGCCCAAGAAGCGATCCCTCGCGCAGATGTGAAAAGTACAACATGGCTCTTTGAGAGCACACCCTTGGATAAATTTAGTGCTTCTGAAGGTAGTATAGAAACAGAACTGAAAGAAAGGACCATGAAGGAGACTTTAGAGACACTCTGCACTTGCCAGGCTATTCAGCATGATGGGATCCTCATCGAAGCCAATGATATGGAGAGTGTGAAGATGGTGAAGTACCAGCTCAGCAGCCCAGGAGCTCCAGAGATCCTGAAAGAAGAGATTGTGGGAGGCCATCTGCAAAGGATCATGTTGCAGCTGCTACACAGAACCAATGTGGAAGCACAGAGTGTACTGGTGGAGGAGGACAGAGAGGGCAAGATCAAAGTAAGCCCATTGCAGCTACTGGACCAGAGTGAAGCTGTTAAAGGCAAGGAGGACTTGAGCGGAAATGTAGCTAAGGCTCTACAGGGTCTCCTCAATCAAGATGCTTCCATCAAAAAGGGGATGGTCTTACAAGAGACAAAGTCAGGATCAGTGAAGATGACTCTCTACTCCCTCCTATTCCATTCTGTCCAGCAGAAAGTTGTGAAGGGAGATGTGAAGTCAACGATAGGCAACCTGTTGGCTTCTTCTCAGGAGCAAAAAACAACAGTAACCGTTAAGCGTGAGGACAATGAGAAGGGGAATGTCCAGCTTTTCGCGAGCTGCATTGAGAAGGGAGATCTAGACTATCTGAAGAACCTCCAGCAGGAGTCAGAGATACAGTCCCTGATCTTTTCCCAAGCAGAGCAGGGAGCAGAGGAGAGTGCCCCAGGGGTTGGAGATCAGGGGGCTAAGATACAGGTCTTACCAAACAAAGAACAAATAGAGAAAGTAACTGCAGAGGGTGAGCCAAGGGCTATGGCAGCAAAAAAGGTATTTGCATGTGAAAGCACGGGCAAAAAGGGTTCCTTAGAGAGAGAGGCTGTGCATGCAGCCGGTGTGACAGGCACAACCGCACAGTGTCTTGGGAAACCCCTGCCCACAGTGATGGGAAAGGAAGAAGTTCTGTCAGGAGGGCTTAAAGTGACTACGAAGTCAATTCAAAGGGTTGCAGATGTCAGCAAGAAAGCAGAGAAAGAAGAAGCGTCCTCTGCCTCTTTTAAGGAATCCCAAGCTTTGATGCAAGGCGTATCTGCAACCCAAGTGGCAGCTCAGAGGGAAGAAGTGGCTGGGAAACAACAGAGTTTGGTGACAGGGGAAGCCAGCCTGAGGCAGACAGAAGAAAAGGCCCTTGGGAGCGATCTTCAGGCTGCAATGCAAAGCCTGAGGCTAGCAACAGCAGAGGCAAAAAACATTCAACATCATGTCCAGACCAAGCTACAGAAGAACAGGGAGGAGGTCCACATGGCCTGCAGGCAGCAGGCAGCCAGCACACAGGGCACAGTGACCCTTCAATCAACCACACGCCAACAAGACTCCGCATCAACCACGCAGGAGAGCACCAGTGCTTCCATCAGGACCACCACCACTAGAGTCCAGGAGGCATCCAAGAGTCACACAAGCGTGTCTCAGAAGAGCATAGCATCACACAAAAAGGTCAGTGCTTCAGAGGAAGTACAGGGAAGACAACTATTGAGCCAGGAAAGCCAAGTTGTGCCTAGTAGAGAAGTTAGCATTAAAGATGGCCTTTATACTGCCACACCTGTGAAAACCTATATAAACCCCTGTGTTGAGTCTGATTACAAAGAGCAATCAGTGCAAGAAGAAAGAGATGTTGTTATCAGAGGGGATGTGCAGACAGCTATCAGAGCACTGCAAAGTGCCGCCACAGAACAGCGCCTGGTAGAAAAGGAGGATGTTGTCCGAGGTAATTTAAAAGCCACACTTCAGTCGCTGGAAAAGTCTAACGTTAATGTCTCCAGAGGGGATTTTAAAGCTGCTATGATATACAGAAATGCAGGGCAGTCCTATTCTGTGTGTAAAAAGAAAAATGAGGCTCAAGTCGTTAGTAACCAGACTGCTGTAGTGGCATCAGGGTCGCAGGCTGATAATGACTTTCCTCCTCCTCCCTCAGTTGCTGTGATGAAAGCAGAGCATTGCCCACCCTCAACTAAAGCAACAAGAGAAGGTGCCCTTCCATTACCAACCAGCAAAGATGAAGCCCCAGGAGGTTCACCACTCCAGACCCCTCTTCCTGCCCTTCCTTCCCTGGCCTGCAAACCCTGTGATCAGAGTCCTGCAGAGAAGCCCAGGACCCCTCCAAAACCAGAAATTACTGCCCTACCCAGGAAAAAACCTGTTCCCCCTCCAAAACCTGAGCACCTCTTCCACGAGGTACATTCTGCTTCTGCAAATAGCAGCACAAGCAGATCAACAAAACCCATCCCTCCACCCCTGCCTCCAAAACCTCTGGGACTGAGGGAGATCAGCAAGACAAAGCCTCCCCCCACAGAGCTGGGACTAAACGCCATAGAAGTGAGTGAACAATCAGGCCATGGGGAGGTTCAGGCAAAATGCTGCGATTTGGAAACATCTGTAGGCAAGACTGTCACAGTTCAGGGTATGAGCCCTGAGCGAAAGCTGCCAAAAACCATTGCCAAAACCCCTCTTCAACTGGCAGAGGAAAGGTACAGGGCAAGCAAAGGAATACAAGGGAAGCTGGACTCAGACAGCGCTAAGACTTCAAAGCCAATGAACAATGGAATGGTTGGTTTTGAGGTTGAGCAGGGCACGATGAGCAAGAAAGCAGCAGCTCCAAGGAGGTGCCCAGGTGAGGTGGTTCAGGGGCACACAGACCTGTGCCAAGACAAGAATGGGTGCTCTTCAATGAGACAAGATGACATTGCACAAAAAGCCTCATTCAAGATGGAAAGAGAAAGTGTGTCTAATTCTTACGGATCGTGGGACAGTCAGAGAGTCATGGAGCAAGTGAATGAGAGGAGGCAAATGTGTCATTCAATGTCTTTCCATCAGCAGCCAGTGAGGTCTGAGGAGCAACAGCAGGAGGATAGTGGGCAATTAAAAAGTGCTGATGGGAAGGCAGAGACACCTGGCCAGGAGAAGCCAGCAGTTGTTATGAGAGAAAAACCCAAGAGAGAAACAGAAGATGAGCGTCGGAAGAGGCTGTCAGTACACAAAGAGGAGATCATGAAAGGCAATGTCAAGGAGGCTATGGAGATCTTTGAGAATCTCAGGAGACAGGAGCTGCTGCAAGAGATTTTAACTCAGGTGAAGGAATTTGAGGAGGAGACAAGCAAAGTGGATGTGAAAGCTCTGAAGAGTTTATTTGAGAAGGTCCCTGACTGGGTTGTTCATCAGAAAGCCCAGCAGGCCAACCAACAGGATAGGGCTGAAACAGTGGCAAAGGAGGATACTGACAGTGTCTCCTCAGTGGAGCTGGTTTTTGGGGACCTGGAGCGAGCAAGTGCTGAGATCATCCACCTGAAGGAGCAGACACTTGCCCGGCTCATGGACATTGAGGAGGCCATCAGGAAAGCTATTTATTCTGTCTCTAGTCTCAAATCTGAGTCAGACATCGCTGGCCTCTCAGGGCTGTTCAAGGAGTCCCTGGTGAACACCCAGAGCTCTGTGAGCAGCAGCAATATCCGTAAAATCAGTATTGTCTCAAGCAAAGCCAAGCAGGAGGAAACCACACTGGAGACAGGGGAGGCAGTATCTGAGGGGGGTGCAAAGGTTACAGAAAAGACTGAGGTAACCAAGGCAGAGCTAGAGGTCCCTCACCTCGTTCAATCTCGCGTCAGCTCTCCCTCCTCACCTTCCTACATCTCCATCGAGTCTGCTGCCAGGAAACCAGCAGAATCACCCAGGACAGCACATTCCCCCTGCGATACCCCTTCTCCAGACTGTCTTGACACCCCAGGAAAGAGGGATGCTTTTGCTCAGGACAGCTTTAGCTCCTTTAATCATCCACCAGCAAGGTTTACTGGGCATGACATGACCTCCTTTGAGAAGAGACCAGAGCCCGTCCAAACAAAAGTTGGGCTGAGCTCAACGAAACAGCAGACCCTTGTCAACGCCAACCATCAGAGCAGTGAGAAAGAGAAGAGCCCTCTGGACAGCTCCAAAGGCAGCTGCCACTGTGGGATGAAAGGAGGCTTTTCGGACTACTGCTCCGTGAATGTCCCCAGCCCGCAAAATCCGCGGAGACAGAAAAGCATCTTGGAGCTGCAGACAGGGCCCGATGGGTCAAAGCTCTATGGAGCCACCCGGACTGTCATGGAGCAGTACGAGGAAATGGACCAATTTGGAAACAAAATCATCACTTCGTCCACCACAGTCACCAAGCAATCTGAGACGCAAACATCTTCCACGTGCGATGTGGTCTCTCCTCCCCAGTATGAGGCATCACCCATGTTGCGGAGGTACTTGAAGAGCCCAGGCCAAGACTTCCACACCAACGGCAGTTTTCAGGAGACAGGAGTGGTCTTTGTCACCTTTGGCAACTCCAAGCCAAAGAAATAGGAGATTATGGAGAACAGGAGAGAACTGTGTCAGACAAAAAAGAAAGTCCACAATAAAAAAATCCCCTGTTTTATCCATGTACACACAGGGATACATCTACACCCTATGGATTTCTCAGGGTCATCGTCTTGGTGTTTGCATACAGACAGGACAAATGCAGTCTGCTTTGACACTGGAGAACAGCCCTCACCTGGCCAACCCAACAGACTTGGTGCTGCACCACAAGCCAGAGCCCTGGCACTGTTAGAATCACAAGGGGAAAATCCATCCATGGGCACCTTAGGGTAGCTTCTTCCCCCCAGAGTGTTTTGGGGGTAGGGGGTGGTGTATCAGGTAATGCAGAAGAAAGGATAGGTAGGATCAATTAAAGAACCAACCAATCTGGTCACTGGCAAAAAAACCAACTTCATGCTATCTTCTTTTTCTAATTTCAATACAGACTTTCCAAGAAGGGCATCCTAAACACACATATATACGCATGCTCATAGTGATGGGTGGGTTGGGTAGGTTTTCTCTTAGCCTTTAACAAAAGAAAAGGAAAAAAATGTCAAATTGATGTCATTATTGGGGTTGGGGGAGGTATTTATCAGATTATTTTTCAGTTCCTGGAAAGTACTCAATGCTACTGAAAATTGTCAAGCCAAGACCTACAGTTATTATCAGTGCCATTCCCCCGAAGAAAGATGCTATGAAAGATTCTCTGCTTCAGTCAGAATGGTTACTGCTTTCCTTTCTTTATTTTTAGAACTGTAATTTATTATTCAATATATACAAAAAGCTTATTTTAGATTTTCCATGCTTTCATACATGTTTACTGTTTCAATTCATTTCAAGACTTTGTAAAGCAATTTTCTTTTTATTATGACTTTGTTTTGTACATTCTCAACTCAAGATTTTAGATATTTTGTGGCTTTTTTTTTTTTTTTAAATTCCTATTGCTGCGTTCTGAAGGTAAACATTACCTCTAAAAATACTTTGGTCTGGTTGAGTTTCTTTTGTTGAGAGCTTGTTTCCTTTCAAAGTGCCTAGAAATCATCTCTCAATGAACCAGTTGAATCACATATTGAGAGCACTCTAAATCACTGGAGGGATTTAGTCTACATCTCCTTTACAAAATGGGTGGATTATCAGCCCTGCAGCAAGCAGTGTTCACACTACTGTCTGAAAACTGAGTACAGGGTGATATACACCACCCAATTCAGCACCCTGTGTAGGTGTGTGGAGACTGAGTAGGATGTATATACCAGGAAAGGTCTGAACACTTGCCTGTAGCTGTTTCCTCCATGTGAGAAGGCAGCTGAAGTATGCTTCCATAAGCCTTACAAGGAGGGGCAGTTGATGAACCAGCCATTACTCAGTGTTGTGTCCCAACTCACATCACAGGTTGGCCTCAGTTTGGGAGTGAGGCAAGTGAGCGAGGAGTTTTCTCCAGGTGTGGGAGAATATAAGGAGCCTACAGAGCGACTGGATGGTTTCTCAGGGAGCTGTCCCCTACAGCCTGGCTCAGACTTAGACTACTGACCCCTGGGTATGACTGTAGACCTTCCAGTTGATCTATGGCAAGCCACCTCATCTCTCAGTGCATCACTTTACCTTTCTGCAGAATAAGACAGTAATTTCATTTAAAAAAAAAAAAATCAGTAAGATGTTATGGTTAATATTTGCTTTTTTTCCTCTGAGGATAAAGGGCCCACACTGATGACAACTGGGTAGGAAAGGACTGTTTCAGAGCCTACCACTCCATATCTACATTTTTAAATGTAGATAGCATCTCACATCATGTAACACCTTGTTCAGGGTGTTGTAGAACAGGTAGGAGTTCTGCTTCCTCCCTGAAAAAACAGGTACATACCCAGAGCGCATTGGTTTGCCTCTATGACCTCATAAATTTGAAAGTAAGATGTGCAAAAGAAAAGTAAGAATACTGTCTTCAGTTCCACCAAAGAATACACCAATGATTGAGGTAGAAAAGCAGATCATCATAAACTAAGCATATCTGGTTTCAGAGAATCAGAAAATATAACTGCTTAGATCTTCCCCATTGTTTTAGTAGGACCAATTGTAGAAGCAAGAGGGAGTTAGTCATCTGGAGCTCCTCTTCAAATTTTTTCCAACGTTGCTTTCTTATCCTTGTTTGTGCCTCACCTTAGCTTGTTTCAGGATGCCCTTAATGCAGGTTTGCTTCATTTCTTTCTAAGGACAGCTGCAGAGCAGCAGTTCTAGTAAGCTGCAAACAGGTTGCATGGGCAATGAAAATGATTCCACAGGAAGTCAAATTAACCCAAATATCCTGCAGCGCCAGTGCTTAAAAATACTTATTGTTTGTGTTTCTAGTTCTACAGGATATCTAAATATCTCAATGAGCCATTTATGAGGCTAAGATCATTTAAGATGTGTTTCTTTCATGGTATTTCTATCAGCCAGGAACTGAAATATCATGAGGGGACAGATGCTGCATTATTTCAGCACCATACATGGCTCCCTGAAGCACTGAAAGAGCTGGAGAAAAAAAAAATTGCAAGGGTTGGAAACTCAAATACAAGCTGAAGGATCAGCTCATATTCCACATGCTTCAGACCTTGCAATAATAAACCAGCAGAGCACATACAAACTTGCAAATCCCAAATGAGTTGTCATAGTTTTTCTGTGATCTTTGGATAGAAGACACGATGCTGTTGACCATTCTTTGCCCCAATGGGTTGCTGCATTCTCACACGGTGCTAGGTAGGTATTTTCAGGAACAAACTGGCTGAGAGAAGTACCTGGACCAGTGGACAGAGGACAGATGGCCTTGTCTTAACCTTGAGTGATCAAAGGACAAATTCACCTACAGATCTGGTTGTCTTGCAGCAGTAGACATGAAATATGCTACATTTGAAGTGCCTACATTAGGTACTGTTCTTCCCAGCTCATTTTGAGCCACTGGTCTCCCTGAGAATGACCAGCCTAAGGTCAGAAAGCTTTGTGCTCACCATCTTCTCCACCTATTAATAACACAGGCATTTTCAGGCTGACCCCTCCTACTACAAAGGTTTCTACTCACCTAGGGAAAAAGAGGCAACAACTGATAAGCTATAAGCCAGCTGCAAATTTCAGCATGGCAGTAATCAGCAGTGTACTAGAAAAGCCTTCCAGGAACACTCTAACTGCTTTTTACAGAAATCTTAAGATAATTTCCTTGCCCACCATGCTATTTGATTGCTGCTAATGACCTCTCTATCTTCCAAACCATTAGGAAGGCTTATTTCTGGAACTGATAAAAATACCTCTGAAGAGTACGACTATTTGCCATGCATCAGACAGTGAGCACTTAAAATACATCCCCTGGTGAAAGAGACCTGCATCCCCTATAAAAGAATATCCCACTTTAGGAACACGTTCCAGGAGTACATACATTCACTCCCAGCTAAGAGTAGAGGTTTCTTGTTTGTTTGCTAAACAGCTCTGCTTCCTTCCTTGGTCATGATTAAAGGAAATCGTTTTTTCGTATACAACAGAGACACGTCAACTGTTACTCCCTCTCTGCCAGGACACACACTTTTGTGCTGTTGGAGAGCTCATCACTGTCAAAGAAAATGCCTGAGAGAGTACCTAGCTGTAACTGTGATCTGTACTGCCAGAGACAGCAAAGTTGATCTGTTGGCTGAGATTTATTATCGCCAGGACTGCCACTTTGCTCCATGGTCACAGATGATGCTGTGTTGCTGCAGCTGCCCATCACTACTTACTGTCCATTGTCAAATTTTAAAAAATGGTCCCCCAGGTGCCTGTTGCAAATAAAAGACAGGGTTCTTCTCCTGTCAACTTATCCCTTGAGATACAGAAACACCTTTCATGTATCATAGAATCATAGAATGGTTTGGTTTGGGAGGGATCTTAAAGATCATCTAGTTCTGACCCCCCTGCCATGGGCAGGGACACCTTCCACTGGACCAGGTTGCTCCAAGCCTCATCCAGCCTGGCCTTGGACACTTCCAGGGATAGGGCATCCACAGCTTCTCTGGACAACCTCTTTCCTCTGGTCAAAGCTAAAATCTGTCCATCAGCCCACTCCACATAAGAGCATAAAGCAAACTTGCTTTTTCTCTGAGCTGACAACTCTGCAACCCAGGGGGAGCACATATTGAATGAAAGCTGGAGGGATCAGAGAGCACCAGCAAAACACTGTCAAATCAAGCTGTGGCAAAACTCCCCAACAAAGAGGCAGAGGTGCCCCTGTATCAGGGAGTATCAGCACTCAGAGCACTGTCAGTCAGTTAGGTTAGGCTCAACTGTGCTCCTGGGGCTCTGGACACACTTGACTTGCAGGTGAGCTCACCAGTTAATCTGAACCTCTGCCTCACACCACAGTGAAAAGGAGTACAGAGAGATCCACATTGCCGCCGCCATCCTCCGGCTTGCTTGGCCATGCAGACAACCTGGAGCCATTTCTGCAGCTAGGCTGATGTCCAAGCTTCTTTATTCCCTTTCTCTCTCCACTAATAAAATAGCTGGCATTGGCAATGCTTTCCAGATTCCCTGGGCTCTTCACATAAAGTGGTGTTTGAGGCATCAGGTCATGTCATAAAATACTGTACACAGAGTAAACTGCCAGGTTTATGGAGCTGTGGAAGCTTCATCGCTGACATGTGCTGCCTTTTTAGGATTACAGCTATGTGGTCTGAGTGAGTAGCCATATGATATCAGTGATTTCAGGAGTTGCCCAGCCAGAGCTTTTGAGTCAGACTCTGAACAACGTTTCTTACCTCACTCAAGACTCAACTGGGTGAAGCATTTTGTCTCAATCAAATGAATAATTTCCCTCCTGGGGGGGTCCAAGGATATCCTGTCTTTTTGTCCTGACTGAAAATTAATCCTGACCTACCTCAAACAACAAGCAAATTGAGTCAGACAAGAGTCTGAACTCTCACAACAGATCTGCAGAAGAACATCAACGAGAAAAGCCAACGCAAGTAGAAGGTTCAGCAAATTAGCTTGCAGATGCATGTCCAAGTGGTCATGATTCAGTTATTTAACTTCAATTTCTCCTTCTTCTTCAGCCCATGTTGAAAGAAGTGTGTGCCTCATGCCTGCAGCCTGTCTACTCCATGGAGCGTGTGGTCACTGACAAAGTCTGTGTGCACCGCTCATGTTTCTGCTGCCAGGTCTGTGGGAGGAAGCTGAGGTGAGTGGTAGGACCCAAGTGCATTTATTTTTAAGGGATGTCCAAATAGTTTGCATCACAGTAGTCCAATTCCAACAGGCCAGTCTTCAGGAAATGAGAAGGTGCAGACAGTTTCCTTGATACAATCTGCCTCTCCATCACTAGAGTCTGAAGACTGCTCACTTCAAGGTTGTAGACACCTGTGGATCAGGAACCAAGCATGGTGGTGCAAGGGTGAGCTGAAAATACAAGAAATACTTACAATTTGGGAATGCTCATATGGAATTTAATTGGAGGAGTTGCTCGGGCACCTCTCATGTTCATGGAGTCAGGGAGGTTGGAAGGTACCTCTGGAAGTCTCCACCCACCCTGCCGCAGATCCAAGGAGGGCAGGTAGCTCAGGAGCATGACCAGGAGAGGTGTGAATGGATCCAAGAATGGAGACTCCACAGCCTCCCTGTTGGGGCCCCTCTTTCATGATTTGACTATCAATGAAAAGGTTTTTTCTTATATCTCATCAAAATTCCTCATATTACAAGTTATTCCCATTGCCTCTCACCCTGTCACTGTCCACCTCCAAGAGCACTCCCACCCTGTCTTCTCAATAACTTCCCAAAGACAGACACAGCAATAAACTCCACCTTCTTAACCTTCTCCTCATAAGACCCAGCCAACCCAGCTCTCAGCTTCTCCTCAGGTGACACATGTTCCAGGTCCCAGAACACCTTGGTGGCCCTTTGCTGGAGTTCTTCCAGTATGTCAATGGTTTTCTTGCACTGAGGAGCCCAAAACTGGACAAAGTGCTCCACATGTGGTCCTGCAAGTGCAAAATGCAGAGGAATGGTCACTTCTCTTGACCAATTGCCTGGGTTCTTGCTAGTGCAGCCTAGGATATAGTTGGCTTCTCTGTCACAAGGGCAAACTGCTTCTTGCTTTCAGCTTGTCAGTCACCGAGACATCCTGGCCCTTTGCATCCTCGAGGGCCATCCTTTGTGACTGCTTGCCATCCTCTTGCCCCGCTCCATACGTACAGACACTTTCTCCCATCCCACAGTTGCTGTATCATGGGAGCCCTGTGCAGTTTTACCTATATGGTCCGTGCTGTGCATACAGGGGAGAGATTAATTGCCGGTATGAAGCCTGGCCTGTAAATGAGAAAGGGTTTGCACAAAACCTGGACTACAGCTACCAGAAGTATTGCAAGGAAATGTTAAATTTTTCATGTGTTTTTGATTTTTGAAAGACAAATCAAACATATCCTCAAAAAATTGACACTGCTTTTGAAAGGTTTCAATTCTTCAAACACCTCCCCTTCCCCAACAGTTGTCACTGAAAAACAATTTGGCTGAAAACCTGCCCATCAGTGCTACTGTTAATCCCTCCCTCCCACACAGCTGCTAACAGCCACGCCAATCTGTGTTTTCCAGCTTGCAAAACTATGCTGCCCTCCATGGGGTGTTTTACTGCCAAGTCCACTACAAGCAGATGGCTGGAGCTAAAAGCAGAAGCGAGACAGAAAGGCTGGAACACCGGCTAGGAGACCACCAGGTTCAGCATGTGGCAGTCGCGGGCAGAGGACCACAGCCCCAGGAGTGGTGTAACAGGGCCAAAAAGAAGACCAAAACAAGACAGAAACCCACATCTTGCGAGCACGGGCAAGAGCTGAACAGCAGGTCTGTCCTCTTAGGGAACACGCTCAGAACAGGCTGGCCACCTTCAGATACAGCCTTGTTGGCTGTAGATGAGAAAGCTGGAAAGGGAGTGTGTTCCTGGAAACAGCCCGTACTAAGCCTGCAAACCTACCAGGCTGTGGGCAGCAGGGCAGGCAGGATGATGCTCAGGGGTCAGGAGGGAAAATCATCAGCAGAGGCAGCAGTGGAGAAGGGAAGCTTCTTTCCTGGTGTCACCTGTACCAAGGAAAGAAAGCAAGTCTGTTCCTGGCCCAAGACCAGAGAGCAGAGAGACGATGAAAAGATTGGGGATGGGGACGTGCCCAAAGGGAAGCGAGGGGGCAAGGTGTCCCAGCAAGTGGCTGCGATACAGCAGGGCAAAGCCCAGGTGAAGAGAGGTTCTGCCTCTGTCTCCTCCCCTCTAGTCCTGGAGCCTGTGAAATTCCTGCCTCGTGGCTCCCTTGTCCCCCATGCCACACGTCAAAACACTAAACCCACCAACTGGATGTACCTGGGGGGCACAGGGAGCTGCACCCTTCCAGCTGCAGAGCTCCCAGTGAAGGAAAACAAAGTTTGTGGGTCACCAAGCACACCCAACAAGGAAGGCATCATTCCTGCAATGACAGATGACAAACCTGAACTGACCATAGCCACTCCAGCTACTTCAGGAGACAAGCATCACCTTGGAGAGAGAATGAACAGCCCACAGGCCGTCTGTGTGTCAGGAGAGCCCAAAACCAGAAACACAAGTATGGGGCTAAAATGTGGAGCTGAGGGTGTTGAGCCCCCTGACAACGAAGCTGAAAAAGCCCATTGCCCCTCTGGTGTGTCAAGGAACCCTTATGTATCTTCTGGTTCCCAGGAGCCTGGTGCATCTCCGGAGATCACTGAGCTGGTGAATGAGAAATCAAATGCAAACACCGATGAGTTCCCTGGGAAACAGATACCAGTAACTTTGGGGGAAAATAGCCAGCCATCCAGCATAAGTCAGTTGTCTGGGATTGAGAGTAAAGGGTCAGAATTTGCGAAGACAAAAGAAGTGAAACTAGTAAGTGTGTCAGGGTCTCTTGAAGAGACCAGTCCTGAGCATACACCTCAGGAAAACAAAGCAGGAAAGAGCAGAGTCTCTTTACCTGGTTTGCCAGATAAAACAGATGATCACAGTGTGTCCTGTCTACAAGAAACAGAGCCCCAGGGCACATGTGACTCACTGATAACTAACCCTCATGACGATATTTTGAGACATGACATAAAATCACCTGGCAAGGATTTTCCAGTATCAGCAGACACACATCTGAAAGGTGCCTGTGCCACTTGGCCTTCACATGATGAAGTCAACAACTCCAAGTCAAAGGATCCCAAAGAAGTTCTTAGTGAAAATACATTTCACATTTCTGAGCAAACAGCCAAGACATTACACTCTTCTGAAATGAATATATCCTCGGACAAATCCAGAGGTCATCCAGTGGGTGAAGGAAAAATGGATCTGAAACTCCAAGAGGAAAGCACAGTGCATACATCAAGACCTGGTGCCCAGAGCAAAGAGACCAGAAGCAGTCAAGCCTGCAGAGAGACGTTAGGTAAAGGTTTCAGGCTTGGGAAAAACCCCTTCACTACACTTTTTGGCTCTGAAGACAAAGGCAGCACTCCCAAGAAGGAAACAACCCAAAGGAAACCAACTAAGCCCCAGTCAGCCCTTGTCACTTTGTTTGGTTACTCCTCAGAGAAGAAGCAGGGTCAACGAGAAAAACCTGCAAGATCCTCAGAACAAACAAATATTGATGACAGGCCAGAAAAACACCAGGGCGTCCTCAGCTCCTCCAGCCAAGAAAAACAAAAGACCTCCAAGAATGATCAGCTGCCACAGCCAAGAAAGGGAGAATTCTTCCCTAAACATATCCAGGAGAGCTCTGTGGGCTTCTCAGACTGTACTGCAGGCAAGGAGACTGATGTCCTGTTGTCAGCTCCTGGCACAAGCATTTCATGCAGTGCTAAACATGAGACAACAGAGCTTGACATCCATGACCAGCTGGCTTTAAACAGTCAGGTTTGGCAACAGCAGAACAATTGTTGGCCCTCTCTCATACCAGCACAGGAAAATGAAAAAGAAGCTGCAGTAACCTCAGAAGGTGGAGCAAACCCCCTACATCCTCCTCCAGAATTTATGCCTGCAGCTGATAACAGCAAAAATCTTATAAGGGAAGGAAATCATCATGATGCTCATCTACTAGAAATTCAGAACCTATTGAGTTCGGGTGTCCAGAACACAGTGGTAGAGGGTGGGATTTTGTTTTCACCAGACAATTCAGAAAAGTTACCCAAGGAAGCTGAGCTGCAGTTAGACAACCTGGATTTTCTGGAGGACAATAACTTGTTCTTTTCTGGAGGACAAGCTTATCCCAGCATAGCAAGTAAAACCCCAAATTCAGATTTGCAAAATTCAGAGGAAGAAAGTCCACCTTGCTTGGGACCAAATCCTTCAGAATTATGCCAAGAAATCCCACCAGAAACAAATGCCCCACTAGTGCTGTGGGACACCTCCGGTCTCTCACTCCTCGCTGGACAGGATGAGATTAATATTAGAGACCCGGAAGGAGTTCTGAGCTCTGCACATCTGCAGCAGCTGGATCCACAATGCCAGGCTCCAAAGGCTGCAGAGGATACATTTGGATTGGGTCTCAGTGCAGAAGGCTCAACAAGCAAGCACCTTTGTATGCAGGAAGACAGTTTTCCCCCAGTGTATGTGTTCACCAGTCATGCTTCTGAAACATTTAGTCAGGGTGTCTTTGATCCTTTCGATGTTGGTTCAACCAAAGTGGGCCAAGAGGATCCTGAAAAAATGAGCAGGAGCAGAAAAACATCAGGAGCTAAAGAAGATTATGAAAGTCTCCCTTCTGCAGACCTGAATGTGTTAAATGATGGCCTTTTAGACCAGGAGTTCTTTATATAGTTGAAAAAAAAAAAAAGGATATTTTAAAAAGCACCCAACCCTGCAGCACAAGTTATCTGATATGGGACAAAAATTGATTAATGAAATCAGTTTAGAAATATTCCGCTCCCCTGGCATGAAACAAAATCAGTTGTGCATAGGGTGATTTATTAATGGCTTAAAGAGCTAAATTTAAGATCCCTATCCTGGTCATAGTCCATCAGTGCTCAGTTCCTGAAAAAAACCATTGCAAGAACCGGCTTCACTGTGAGAAGCCTCTAAGGAGAGACCGAGCAGCAACTCATTGTCTTCACTCAGGGGTCTTCACAGAGGGGACCTTCTGCACAATCTCTTGCCAAGGTCCCTCAGATGATGTCTGCACTGGCCACTGTCTGCCTGGTAGAGGGGAGACAGACCCACCCCTGAAGACGTCAACCTGCAAACAGCGGTGAGCAACAGGCTAAACAAGAACTAGAAACTCAAATGTGAAGAGAATGGCATTTTCAGGAAGGAACTGAATCCTTGTCCATGAGTGCACAAGTAAAATGCAATGGGCAAAGGTCAAGCTGTGGCAGGCAGGGCAATTATTTGTCTCCAAATTAGGTTTGGGTGCCTGCAATATTGCCGTTTCAATGTAAACCAGATGCTTAAGTGCACGTCAGAGTCAACAGAGAATTAGTAAATACAATCTGGGGAGGGATTCAGCCCACCCTAAACCAGACAACTGCATCTGAGAAGCTAACAGCTCTCTGGACGCTGTTCATGGTGTCAATCCATCTCCACTAACTACTGCGCAACCTTAGGTATCATTTTCACATATTGACAACTACGTTTCGACATCCAGAGATTAATTCAACCCAAAACATCATACACTCCAAAATAATGATACCTCACACCCCTTGCTATGTTTTTCCTTCAGTAGACTGCAAAATTTTCCCACACAGGAGGTCGCCTCATAGCACAACGGTAAGCAAAGATAAGTGAAATGACCTTGCCAGGGTCACCAGTCAGGAGGACAGAGGGGGAAAGGGAATCCAGATCTCTTGAAGTCTTGGGATGTGGGGACATTGCTATATCTGCTCACCCTGTGCGGTTGCATTTTGACCCTCCCTGACTGCCCTTTGCTCCTATAACATAAATGTGTTTGGAGTTAACAATTATACTAATGATAACCAGAAATCTCTGAGGGTCAAAGCAATAACACGTGTATTATGAAAAGGATCGTGGAGCATATCACTTCACATGTTTTAATCAGGTGTCTGTAAAAATAAAAGGATAAAGATGTTAGAATAATTAATTTTTAAAATAAATAATTTTTGAAACCACCTCCCTGCCTCACTAGTGCCAAAATAACCCTGGATCTGTCAGATCTGCTGGAGGAATAAAGCTGCTTCATGACTGCATCCGCTGCAAAGCAGTGTGTCAGCGCTCTGTGCCGGGACACTGTTCAATCAACATCAATCAGGGAAAAGAGAGATGTCCCTGAAAGCTCGGTGACTTGTGCTGAAATCGGTCTCACCTTGGGATGGGACAAGAGGCTTGGGACAGGGGTGCTGCCATCTCACAGCCCTGCCTGAAACCTGGCCAAGCTGGGTCTAGCAGTAGAGAAATGGGACTTAAAGGCTTGTAGGGACCGAGCACCTTTCACTGAAGCAGTGGGGCGGAGGTGGCCTGTTACTTGTGCCAAAGATGGAGTGGCACCCCAGACCAGGTTGTCACTAGCACATGACACCCACAAGTCTGACGTCTCCTTGCCAGTACTAAGAGGAAGAGGGAAGATGCAGGAGCTGGTGGGCACGAATCCATTCTGGCTGTAATTCAGCATACAAGTGTCTAAATAGGTCTCCAAGCACAGTCACTCCTGATGTGCAGAGCTGTGTAAGAGAAAAGCCAAGTCCATGAATTCAGGCATCAATGCCCTTCTGCCCACATCAGCCACTCTCCACAGGCAATGGTTTCTCTTTCTGCACTACTCTCCTGGATGCCTCCTCTCCCTTTCCCTAGTCCTTCACATTTGTACATGGATGGACAGGCTTTCCAGCTGTCCATCCCAGGTCTTCCCTGAGATCCGCTGATTTCTCATGCCCTCTGATAGAGGCTTTTCCATTTTCAGGAGGCTTTGAAAGCATTAATAATCCACCTGGGCAAAACTGTTGGACAGAGAGAAATAGGCACAGAAACTCCATCAGCGGGGCTCCAGGAAACAGAGGTTTGCAGGGCTGACCCAGCCTTTGTCCCCGAGAGATGCCACCATGCAGGGTTGACCACTCAGCCCCAGATGATGCAGGCTGTCATAACAACGATGTCTTTCTATGAGAAACATCATCTTAGGGTGACAGAGTTTACAAGGGACTGAAGCTTTCTCAGGGCTTCAGAAGAGCCTGTCTGGTGACAATAGGAAGAACAGCCTCGAGAAGTCACATCTGCGTTAGCACATGAGACTGCTGTCATGTCTGAGTCACCACCACGGAGTTTTTATAGTCAAAATCTGACTTCTGCCAGGAGATTCTGGTGGATGAGGAGTGGGAGGAAAGACTATGAGCCACACACACTGGAGTAAGCTTTTCGCACACTGATGGAGAAGGCAGGACAGCAGGACAGGGTCAAAATGCTTCTGCCACAGCAGATCTCCTTGGCCAAGTTAATCCATAAAATAGCCAGAGATGGATTTAGGGTAAAAGAAACCCCTGGATGTTGCATAGTTCAACCTCTTGCTTAAGGCATGTCTTTGAATAGGGTAAGTAATTTCATCCAGGGATGTGGATCCAGAGCCTAGTGCCATGTCTGGCTGTGTGATGTGTGCACATACTGCCTGCGCATCACTCATGCAGATTTACACAACTCTAAGTAATGCTTAATAACATCTTTAACTTTTGGTCAGCCCTGAAGTAATCAGGCAGTTGGACCAGATGATCGTTGTAGGTCCCTTCCAGCTGAAATAGCCTATTCTTAAGGTCATATCTTCCACTTTTCTTCTCACTTCCCTAAGTACACCAGTGCCATACCCACTCATGAAACACCAGCCCAGAATTGTGTGATCCTTCAGTAACTGCTGGAGGCTCAGACACACTGTCTGGGTTGAGAGGAAAGGACAAAGAATTTAAGAGGAGACATGAAGAGAGCCGGTCAGTGTTTAGAGACCTGACCTTATTGCTCTGGTGAAAACGGCCCGGAGGCTTTTGCCAAACTAGACACTGAATTTCATACACTGAGGGGAATCCAGCTTTCCAGTTTCCAGGAATAAAGATACAAACCACATAGGGAGTCTGTCCAGGAAGCAGCTCAGTCGTTCAGCAGAAATCAGGTCAATCTGCGTTCCAAGTGACATCAGAACCTTGGGCAAAGCCAAGCTGGTGTCACTTCTTATCTCCCAATCCTCTGTGCTCTGTATCTGTGCATATAACGTGCTGTATTTTTCGTAAGGGTACTCTCTGAGCCAAATCTATTTTAGGATTCTCCCCAAGACACTGTAGTTTAGATCTAGTTTTAAAACTAACCAGGGTTTCTACATGGGGCAAATGAAAACTGACAGCTCAGGATACAGCCGTCAAGACCAAAACTACTTGACTACCAGCCGTAGTACCAGGCCCAGAGAAGTGCTTTTGTGCTTCTCTTTCCTATGGTCTCCAAGATGGGCTATATATCTATTAGGCCATTACTGAGAGCAGCAAATTTACTCTTTTTGCTTCTCCACATTTAGGAAAATTAGCCCTCATTCACAGAGTCACAACTTCATGTCTTGGACAAAAACCTTGTTCCACAGCACTGTTTTCTTCAGGAGACCTGGGGAGACACTCCAGGCTGGGACAAGAGAAGCTGTCCCCATGTTGTCCCCAAGTGTGGCAATGCTCTGGCACCTTTGTTCTAGTCCTGGAAACTGGGAGGGAATGGCTGGTGACAAAGTGCATCCCGGAGGACTGCAGTATATCAGTGTAATGGACAAATATGCTGATACAAGTGCTCATTTTATCACACCTGATTAGGGGTTTAGTGCTCACATAGTTTAAACATTAATATTTGCCTATTTAAGCAGTGTGCCCTACTGCAGCCTGGCCAGAGGAATAGTCATTATGACTGAGTTTGGAGAATTTATAAGTGCTGTGGGGGAGTTTGGGCTACATCAGAAATTGCTGGTGCTGCTCCTCTCCCTCCCACTACTCCTTAATCCCTTCCAAATGATTGGCCAAGTGTTCATGGTTGTGGATGTGCCTCATTACTGCAACACCAGCTGGATCCGTGCCGTTGGCCCCAACCTGACGGAGGAAGAGCAGCTGAACCTCACCCTGCCCCGGGACGCCAATGGGGCGTACGCCAGTGGACTGGGCCCTCAGCTCCATCGTGGCGTATGGCCTGAACACCACGGAGAAGGGCAGCAGTGGGTGGGTGTACCCCTCAGCACAACCGCCGTCCCTGCTGACCGAGGTCTGTAATCGCCTTGTGATGTGCCAGGGACGCGGAAGGGAAGGGATGGGCATATCCTGGCCTCTAGTTTGGAAAGCCAATGCCAGCTGTGGTGCAGCCAGGCTGAGATCGACCCCAGGCACTGGGGGACCTTGGCTCTGTCACACAGATGAAGTTGTAACCTTTGGGAGGTTGTGTGCAGGAAGACCATAATGTAGATGCCCAGGGGGACCACAGACAGAGACGGTGGAGGCTGTGAGTCTAGTAAATGCTCTGTCCACCATCCCTTTCCTTTCCAGCATCCAGGTCCTTGAGACTACTATGCATGTTGCCTGGAGGGACCTTTTGGGTCTCCCTGCCCTGGTTTCCTTTATTCTTCAGCCTGTTTCTCTTCACATCACCTTCCTTGTGAAAGACATTTATTTTCCAAGTGCTTGTTATTGATAAGTCTGGGGCCTCCAGAGGCCTTCAGAGCTGCAACAAGACATTCCATGGGCCATGCAGTTGAGCAAAGGCTCTGTCTTCCAGCATCCCAAGCTTCTCCTCTGGACCTTTCTTGCTCTCTCACCTTCCCTCATCCCTCCCTCTCTCCATCTTTCCTCACTCCCAGCTCCAGCACTTTCTCACAGGTACCTTCCCCTGAGCTGAAACCAGAGGACAGTCCAGTCCCTGGAAATTGCAAAGGTTCCTTGGGTCTCTGGAGCAGTGGCCATTTCACAGCCAGCTTCTCTGTAGGCTCCTCAGCAGGGCTGCATCTCTTCCCACTCCTGCACCAGTCCTCCTTCACTAGATGATCGTCTGCTCTCCTGTCCTTCTCCTCCTTCAACTCTGTCCAGCCTTTGCAGCCAGAGAAGCAAGCTGCTGGGACTCCTATCCAAAAGTCCCACATTAAGCAAAACTTGCCAGCCAGGAGGCTCCCTCAGGGATGTCTGGGCTGGAGGGGAGTCCTGCAGGTCTCAGCACACTGAAGATGTGCAGTGTGATGAAGAGGCAGGCTGAGCACCTCATACACACGTCTCACCTCTGACTTGTGTCCTGTGTGCATGCCATGGAAGCTTGTGTCCTTGGGTGTGGGAGTTGGAGCTTGGGCACCCGACTTCTCTTTCTGCCATGGACCAGAAGGGCTGCCCACCCTCAGAAAGCAGCTGGGGTCTGTCAAGAGCAAAAGCATCTGTGTTTCCTTCCTCCAGTTTGACCTGGTGTGCGACAGGAAGGACCTGAATGACATCTCCCAGTCTGTCTACATGGTGGGGCTGTTCCTAGGAGCCATGATCTCTGGACCACTGAGTGACCGGTGAGGAGACACAGTCAGCTTCCCAGAGTTATTGCCCAGCACCCAGGGACAGCCCAGCTGAGGGATGTCTATGCACTGAGCATGAAATACCCCCTCCGCAGGACGTGAAGTGTCAGTAGATGACTGAGAGTTCCAAAGGGAGGGAGGCAGATACAACCGTATGGGGGAGTCCTTCAGGAACCACAGGTCCAGCTAGTGTCTCAGCTACCCAAAGGTGTCTTCAGGAGTCCCAGAAAACTACATTTGGGTACAGAGTTGGACCCACCTTCAGCTGCGTTAACCACACCATGTGCATCTCCTCCATGTGGCTCTGCTCAACTCATGGTGACCTGGACCAAAGTCCTCAGCTCCTCAAAGGACATGGCCAGACAGAGTACATGGAAGGTAGAATGGTACAGCATGAGTACAGGGTGCCTTACAGGGGGACCAGCACTACAGGCTGTTTCAGACTGATCCTCACTGCTCTCAAGAGACATCACAGGGGGGCCCTTCAGGGGCTGGTTCCTTCAGCAGCATCTCCTTCTACCTTTGCTAACAGTGTGACTGGTCAAAAGTGAAGATGCTGCTTGTCCTGCCAGTTAATTACTGGGATGTACAGTGGAAATTTGTGGGCATGGGTGTTAAAACCGCCTCTGGTGTGAATGGTTTCCAAATCACTGCATATTCATCCTGGGCTCTTCCCTGTCTGCACAGAGTCTCTCAAGATACCGTGTCTTCACTCTTCCTCAACAGGATTGGCCGACGCCCAGTCTTTCTGATCTCCACCGTCTTCCAGTGCTTGTTCGGCTTAGGAATTGCATTTGTGCCCCATTTCTATGTGTACATGGCCTTCAGATGTGTTGTGGGAGCTGCAGTGTCAGGATTTCTAATTACGATCTTGGCCTTAGGTGAGTAGGATGCCCTTGCCCGCAGGCAGACAGATGTGACCTAACAAAATGCAATAAAAAAAGGACTTAAAAGGTAGTCCTGAACATTTTGAAAAGGATGACTCTGAACCTTGGCTCTTCTTTTCAGCTACAGAATGGGTGGGTGCCTCCTCCCGCCCAAAGGCAGTGCTTATTTCTCACTGCTTTGTTGCCATCGGGCAGATGCTCTTGGCTGGCTTGAGTTACGGTATTCGCAACTGGAGGCTGCTGGAGATTGCAGGATCTGCTCCAATGTTTGTCCTTTTCTTCTCCTTCTGGTAAGCAGCAGCAGGACAGAGCTCCTTGCAGACATGACAGCAGGGGGTCTGAGGGGTGGCAGTGAGGGGGCAGC